ACTCTACTCCTAAGTGGAAGCTCAATGATGGGAGTGTGTATGTGCTACTTTTAAGTTTATAAACATTCACATTAACTCTGACACTTTTATGAATTTAAAGACAGCAGTAAGGCTATGTTAGAAAAAGATGCACTAGTGATAAAGGAAGCAGACACTTATTAGTTCATGTCTTTATAAAAACAGCATCTGTTGACTGCTCATCTTTCTAAAATGCTATACAGTGTGACATGCTAGATTTTTTCTTTACATGACCTTTAGCTTTCATCATTTAACTTTCAAAATCTACATCCCATCGAAAGCAAGTCTTTTTCCTGTTTTAATGGATCAACTGAGACCAAAACTCAAAATGGTAGACCCTTAATTTCAAATCTGCTTTGTTTTCCTCTAATCTCTTTTTCATTTACCTTGGTTTGAAACAACTATAGGTAACACTTGAAAAGGGTAGAACTTGGATCTTGAACCCTAAGGTGTTTCAGGAACTCGTTTCTATAATACCTCAATGCTTTCAGTTTTTCAAATATATGCACTAGATTTTTTTTCCCCTTTGCTTTTGACCCAGTGAATATTTGAGAACATCAGATTAACAGTTTAACTTTATTGAACGTAGCCTATTAGATTAGAGGGGTTTCCCAAAGCCTCCTAAGAAGGTCTTTCATTCCTATTTGTGGGAGTCCTACAACATAGTCTTTGCCCATCACGATGTAACCTGATCCTTATAATACTTGGCAGAGAGAAAACCTTTTAAGCAATGATCTCAGAGTGCACAGTGAACATTTATTGCCTAATTCTCGGAACCCTACTCTGAGCGAGGAAGCATCTGTTAAATGCAGATTTCTTTTGAGAACTCATCTGGAACTCAGGCTAGGGTGATTTTGTTTTATATGACAGGCAGGGTAGAATACCCTGAATTGAAGCTACACTTCTTGAAAGATGGTAGGTTCCTGGGTCTGCTGTGTTTTAACAGGGAGCAGACCTCCTCTAGTAAATGTTAGTTGGATTAGGCAAGTGTGTAGAATCATGGGCCATCCGTGACACATAATTGGGGGTGGAAAGGTCCAATCCCTAAGGACAAGAATTTTACATAGGCATTTACTGAGACTTTCTGCGAGGAGGGAGGACCTAGTTCTCCTCCATTATCATTCTTACAACATATCCATCGGTAAATGGAAAAGTGCTCCTGTTGGAGAGAGCGTGGAGCAGAGAGGAAGCCAGATGGCTTCGCGTTGGTACTATTTGTATTGGGTCTTTAAGGATGAATAATAGTTAAGTGTGGAAGAGGGCATTTCCTGCGTGGCCACTATGCTGGCTGGGACGCCTATTTAGCCTACTCCTAGAAGAGGTGCAGAAGGAACCATTCTCTAAGGTCAGGGTTCCCGATTGAAAAAGGTTTCCAGATGCTCCAGCCTGAGCTTGCAAGTTTGTCTTTGCCCCGCCTTCTCCCGCGGAGCATCCCCGGAGACTCCAGGCTGGCCCTCGCCGCGAGGGCCGGCGGCCGCCTGATGGCGAGACAGTGACTCCCTGGGCGCTGCAAGGCTCAGGAGGTGGCTGGACTGGCCCATCATCTGTCCATTAAGCCGAGGCTTGGCGCTCCGAAGGCCGGAAGGCGCGACCTCGCTTCACTCACAGGGTCATCTTTGTGCTGGGGTGGGGGTGGCTGGGGGCGGGTGAGAGCTGGCCCGCCGACAGGGCCCTGAGCCGTCTTTCCTCCCCGTGGTCCCAGCGAGCCCAGCCTTCCCGGATTCCCGCATCCAGAACCGCTTCCCCCCTCCTCCGAAGGAGTCTACCGGGAGCGCAGACACGCCCGGTGCCCCTCGGGCCGGAGTTTCCAGCGCTTTGGAGGGCGATCTCAGCTGGTCCCGCCCCGTCCCCACCCGCAGAAATGACTGGCGCTGCGGTTTCCTTTAATTTTATGACCACTCACGAACCTGGCGATTAAGACGCCAAACCAACAAAGAGTTTTCTTTCCACCTTAACCTTGCACACAATCCTTTAACAAATTAATTAATCCTAATGAATTAACACTTCATTTATTTAAACGCGCTACAGTCCATGAATTAAATTTTCATGCAGTGATTAAAGGCTGTTAAAATATGCATGATTTCGTTAAAATTTTATAATAAATCAGGGCAATGTGTTACATGACAAGGCAACTATTTCCCGGTCCCTCGCAAGGGGCTTTGATTTGTGCGGGCGGCGGGGAGGAGGGGCGGCGGCGCCGGCGAGCACTGGAGCCGGGCGACGGGACCCAGCTGCCCACTCCGGCGCGGGGACCCGCGGCTTCGCGCTTTCCTCCGCCGCTTCTGAGCCCTTCGGGGGATCCCGCTCCTGCAGGCAGAGCTGTGCCGGCGGAGGGCCACGGAGCCCGCCTCCCGGCCCCGGGAACCGCGCTAGCGGCTGGGCTGGGGGTCCGCTGCTGTGGATCTGCGCCCGCGGAGCTCCCTCCGACCAGGGCGCGCGTGCGTCCGGGGCGCTGCTGCGGGCGAGGCGGCGGGCAAGCGAAAGGGAACTTAGATCTCGTCGCGTGGGGTCCTGGGCGGGCGTGTCCGTGGCAGAGCTGGTTTGTTCGTTGTTTTTATCCTGGGGAACTCGAAACCCTGGCTCTAACCAGCGCGCTCTTGCAGTGTTGAAGCTGCCTGGTCGAGGCAGGGGCGGCTCTGCGTCTCTTGGGGCCTAACCCACAGGGGCCTGTGGCCATACTTAGTGCTACCGCATTGCTCACCTGGGCAACCCTGGCAACTAGCGGGCGGGGAAGGCGTGCCCCTGTTGGGTCGGAGATGTAGTTGTCTTGTGTCACCCCTAGGGCTTTCACAAGGTGGGTGGGTTTTAAGTCCACTGAGAGATTAGGCTCGAGGTATATACAGGGGTGGGCAAAACTGGTTTACAGTTGTTCGTCTATAAAGAATACAATAATTAATAAATAAAAATACAAGGATGAACTGTTTCGCGTACTCACAACTGTAAACCTACGTTCGCCCAGCCCTGCACATAGATCTCTACTTAGGTAGCGCTGAGAGTGATAATGCCCGCAGGGAAGTTTACTGGGACGCATCATCACTGGTGCTGCAAGAGCATCATGGACATCTGGGGGGGGGG